TGGTCACATACACATGAGATTCACGTATGAATGCTTCCAAACACTGCGTTCTTTCTCTAATGGAACCTTGGATAACTTAGTGAGTCAAAACTACTCGTTTTTTTTCTTATTACAATTCCTTAATAGGAAAATAGAGCCTCAACATATGTTAAAGTCAACATATACGAAGCAAACATATATACATAGACTGGGTCGCCATGGAAAATGTGATTTCTTCCTATAAATGTTGGGCAAAAAATATTTAACGAACACTGAACCTATATCTAGTCCCAAATTTTTACTTGCTATGGGAACTTTTTAAAAATCAGTCTGATTCATTTGTTTATAAAATAAGGAGAAAAATAATTTTTCTCTCTACTTCCTAGGAGTCTTTTTGAAAATGACATGAGATAATAGATGTGGAAAAGAGCTCTGGAAACAGTAGTTTCTATACATGTGTTTGTACTGTTGTAAACTTGGGTTTGGGGGCCATGGGAAAGAATTGGAGATGAGATTCAGAATTTTCAAGAACTCCACTATAGAGTTCACCTTTGCAGAATTGTTACTATCTCTTCATCTCCTATAACAGGGTAGGAGTATTTAAGTGGGAAGAGTATGAATTATCTGTGAACTTTCCTTTCTTGTTATCTTCCTACCTCTTAAACATAAAGGGTGACCATTAGTCACCCATATGACAAGTCTCGTTCCAAGCACCGTAATGTCTTGCAAAAAAACCAATTCAATTACTGTCAAGAACTTAATTGAAAAAAATACACATAACAGACAATTATTAAACTCTCACACAAGCCCAGAGCTGGGCCTTTTCTTTTTTTTTCAATAACCAATCTCTAGGATTTTTAAAAATCACCAGTTATATATTGAATACTTAGATATATAGGCTACTAAACCAAAACTTATGTAAGTAATTTTTAGACATGGTAGTTTCTATTCTATTATCTATTCTGTAGGCAGTGCTTTATTAAGCTGAATAAATATAAAATTATGAAAGGGTAACAAGTTTCTTTCACAAATTCTAATAGGTTGAATGAAAAAGGTTATCCAAAATACTGCTCTTCCTTGTGGAAACAATTGCCTTTAATATGATCAGATATTTCCTGGGTCTTAATTATCCTTGTCCCTGAAAGGACAAAATTTCATCCGTCCTCCAAAAGTCGTGCTTAGCTCAAACAAAAAGCAACGTAGCGTCGTCTCAGCCCGGAGCAGAACTATGGGGGCGTTTCCCTAGGCTTATTTAGACAGGCAACGACATTTGCATCACTTAACTAGTGAAGGGCGACCATTATGTTTCAAAGAAGCATCTGGACTACGGACCCTGTCAATTACCCTTTAAGAGGAATTTATCAAATTTGGGAAAACAAGCAGCAACTATCCCTCCAAGGTCGGCTCACGAAATAGGAAACATGGGAGTGAGACGACTTTGGCTGCGGGCCTCACGGGGGCAGCGCAAACCAGAACCAGGAAGCCTTCCTCTCCTCTCGACTTTGTCCCTCCCGACTTTGTCCTTCCCAGGTTTCTGAGCCAGCAAGCAGTCGCTCCTCAACACATCTTGAGCCAATTGCAAAGGACCTAACCAAGCCCAGCCCAGGGGAAGGGACAGTTTCAGAGTTGTTTCGTTTTGATAAAGGATCCCTTCCTTGTTTTGGCTTTTATTCTCGTTAGCGTTTGACGGTACTAACCCTCCCGGCTCCTCACCCCCGAAACAATTAGTGATTGGTAAAGCATACCAAATCCTTGGAGCAACCAACAAGATGCAGTTCATTCTCAGCTGCTTCCTGCTTCTGCCCTTACTGATCGTCTTCACCTTAGAGTCTCTCCTGAAGCTTTTTATTCCAAAGAAGAGAAAATCAGTCACTGGAGAAATCGTCCTGATTACTGGAGCTGGACATGGAATCGGGAGACTGACCGCCTATGAATTTGCGAAACTTAAAAGCAAACTGGTTCTGTGGGATATAAATAAGGTAATACTGCTTATTATGTTTTCTTCCTGGTAACTTTAATCTGTGGATATGTATGCATTTTGCAAGCAACAACCCCTTACAGAATCTTTATAAAGTAAGTAGAAAAAAATTATGGAATTATAGATGGAGGAGAACAGGGATTAATTAATGTGTTTATGAGCACAGTATGAATGAACCTAGACGATAATAAGATTCTCAGTTACTGCCCACTGCCATTGTAAATTTCACTTTTTTGCCCTGACAATAATTTGTAATCTTCTCCTGAATCTGATTTCTCTGATCCCTCTATCTTAATCATAGGGAAGAATAGTTTTAGCTAGTGTATTAATAGAGTAAGAGGTTTGTACCTATTTAGAAAAATATCTTACTTGCAGTTACTGAGGTGAGTGAGTTTAAAAGATATCCAACAGAAAGCAACATTACTATGCCATAGTAATTTACAAGAGTAATTTTTAAAAATCATATTTTAGTTAAACACAACAAAAAGGAAGTCTTTAATGTAATTTTTACTGGAATAGTTGTAAGCTTAAGGAAGAGAGGAAGAATTAGAATTTTATCTTATGTTTGGCAAGTGGTTGATATACACACAGGTTTCCAGAAAGCACCTGGTGGCCTGAAATGCCTTACCTTACACATTAGTTAACATCCAATTAGTTAACATCTTGGCATGAACAAGAATTCATGGAATGTAAAGTTAGATGAGAGCTAAACCCAGTATGACTGATTGAGGTAGCAATCAGCAAATACTACTTGACTATCTGTTGCCTAGATATTAAGATCACAGAGGCAAACAAGAATAGGGTCCTATACTCTTACTCTAGTAAAGAAAATAGACTTTAAATAATTACATGTGCAATGAAAGATACAAACTAGGTCCAGCCTAGTCTGGTATGGTCCAAGTGGTGAAGGTCTGGTATAGCAGGGTGGTCAGGCTCCCCTGAGCAATCTACTTCTTCGTAGATAACTTACCCAATTTCTTGGATAACTTCCGAGAGCTTTAGTTTCCTTTTCTTCAAAATAGATAAAACAATACTTATTTTAGAGGGCTGGAAGGATTATACCAAATACTGTATACAAAGCATTTAGCACAGTGTCTGACACAAGGTATATGCCAAATAACACATACTTAATATGACATTTAATGCCCTTTAATTTGGATTCCCACTTGCATTTATGACCTAGCAATACCAATTGACTAGTGCTTCCCCACAGAAACTTCCTCCTTTCTGTCCCTTTGCTTACAGTCTGGCTGGCATGCCCTGCCCCTCTCTTTGCACGGCTCTTCTACTCATCCTTAAGATCTAACTCATGTACCTCTTCTATAATTGCATCACATGCCCATTCTGTGTGTTCCCATAACTCTCTGTATAGCCCTCATATTATACTTACCACTCTATTAGTTTGAACTGGCAATATTCAATCCCTTATTCCAAAAGAATAATAATTTAATATGGTCCTACTAAATATTATACTTATTTTATGTTTCTACTACACTGTGAATCCACTGAGGTCAGGACTCTGACAGTCATATTTGTGTCCACAAAGTCCTTCTAGACACCTATACATTAAAATGTTGGAGGAATGAATGAATGAATGAATGAATAGTACTTAACTCCTTATTTATTTTGCAGCCAGAAAATTGACGTCCATGAATAGTTTTTAGTGACACAGAGAAAAAGTTTAATAGGATTTTTTTAAAAGCCTGATATGGAACACACATACATAATACATACATACACACACAATGTAAAATTCGTGAATACGAAACCAATATTTTAACATTTTTATCTTTTTTAAACTTGCTTTAAGTTCAGTTCCAAATAAAAGAAGCTTGTTAAAGTATTGAGAGCAAAGTGTGCCTATATCCCTGTCAAAAATGTGTCAGTAAATTTTTGCCTGATCCTAGTTCAAAGAATCTGACTAGCCTTAATTCTTTTCAACTATTGGTATAATATACTCACATAACTTTTGTTTTCCTTGCCCTCTTTGCTACTTTTCCAGCATGGAATTGAGGAAACAGCTGCTGAATGCAGGAGACTGGGTGCAAAGGCTCATGCCTTTGTGGTAGACTGCAGTAACCGAGAAGATATTTACAATTCCGCGAAGAAGGTGAAATGTTACATCTGGTTAGAATCATCATGTCAGAGCTGGAAGGGATTTTGGAGATGACCCAGTCATGACCCAGACAAACTAACAAAAGTTTTGCGATTTGCCCAAGGTTATGCAGCTAGCTAATGGCAGACCCAGAACTAGAACCTAGAACTGAAGTTCTCTAAATTAAGTGTATTCTGGAATCTTCCATGGAGCTTGTTAAAAAATAGGCACCCCAGAGGTTTTCTTTCAGTAGGTAGAGGGCTGGGCCCAAGAATCCACATATTTTATACCCTACATACACACCCAGAGCTTGCCCATCTGATTCTGGTACAGGTAAATTCTTATGTGACACTGCAGATCACTGACACGATCTTCTGAAGCCCAGTCAAAAAACTGGGTTAGGGAGTTTGGATAAACCTGTTTATCAGTCTTAATTATAGATATATCCATTTCTATATAGCATTATTGGCCTCTTCTATTTACAACTGAGATGTGCTGTGTATAATGGGATTTCACTTTGACCTCACACATGTACTTGTTAACCAAATGTGATAATGTTAGGAAGGTCAGTAGAATTACCTGGGCAAATAATCATTCCTGGACCTCACCTTGAATATTCTGATTCAGTACGGTATAAAGATTCTGATTCTGCCATACCTGAGAACCTCTTAAATTTTAAGGAATTTTAGATTTGGGGACATTTTGAGCTAAGTCAAAAGAATAAGTAGAAATTACCCAGTCTACGGCCATGCCACTCTGAACAAGCCCGATCCCATCTAATCTTGGAAGCTAAGCAGGGTAGGGACTGGTTAGTACTTAGATGGGAGACCACTTGGAAGACCAGGTGCTGTAGGTGTAAACAATAAAAAATGAGGGATCGTAAGCTGACTAGGTCCTTGCAATCTGTGAGGTCAACCAAGAGTTGCCTCGCCTAAAAAAAAAAAATTATCCAGCCTAGTGATGAGAAATGGCTTTCCTAGAAAGGAGTACAGTAAGATCAAGGCCTATTGGTAAGAAACATCTGCATTTAACAATAACTATTTTACTTAAATTAACAATTATTCTCCTTCATAGAGATGAGCACTTTTCCAATAATAGTAACTATGTCGCCTTGGACAAATTACTCAACCTCTCTGTGCCTGACTTCCTACGATTATAAAAGGGGGATCACAAAAAGATGAGGATTAAGTGAATTAATGATATAAAGTTCTTAGAACTCAGTAGTCACCCTATAAGAATTAGTTCTTAGTATTATAATAAAACCACCAGTATTATCTATATAATTTTGTTATTAGCCATTGTCAAGGGGATTTACTAGCCCAAAATCTTTAGTTATCTAAATGGAAAATATTCATTTTCAGATTCATCTGGGAATAAGCTTTTCTGGAAAAGATAATTTTATTTGAACCTATTCCATGTATTTTAACCATACTATTTTTACTGAAATTGTTCTAAGATGAACTAACTCGATGCTCAAACAGTATACACAATACATATGATTATCAGATATTTTTAAGTGGCTATTTTGTTATCAGGACAGTTTTATGCCACTAAACAGTTAAATGCTTAGCTTGCTTCCATTATTAAGAAATGTGCAACCAGATATTCATATTCCAGGGAGACAATAGGCGATGATGGAGGAGCTCAAAGATGAAGGAAGGGTCAAAAGGGTCTGGGCAAGTACTTTGGCAATATAAAACAGTAACGTATATTTTGATTCGTGATGTTTTTGGAAGAGTTACAGCAGCTTCATCATTCAAACCGCATAAAATATCCTGTTTTTCTAAATAACTTAGGAGCATTATTCTGAACAGCAGTTTTCATATTGTGCTAGAGGTGTGGATATAGGTACACATAATGTTGATCAAGGACCAGATAACTTAGCTTGATTCTTTCATAATTTAAATACAACCTGATGAAATTCAGTTCTGGCTGGGGAGGCTTCTCCATGGCACACTCGTGTCCTACTGGGGTGCTGATGGGCCTTCCCCTCCTGGCTTCCTTTCTGTTTGAGGTTTGAAACTCGTCTTGGGCTCTGCAGTCAGAAAATCTGAAAGAGTCCCAGTCATGTGACCTTTGGCAAGAAAGTTAGCCATTCTATGTTTCATGTTTCTCATCTTTAAAATGGGCATATTGAGAGTTGCTACCTCGTAGAATTGCTGTGAGAATTAAATGAGATCATGAAATCATATAAGATGCATAGTCCTTACATATGTGAAAGTTTTTAATAGGCTAGTCGCCACCTCCCCCTTATTCCCCCAACACACTGCAGCATTAAATAATGATAACTCTATTAATAGAAGCTAGCTTTCATTTGGAACACAAAGTACAACAAAATGCATTGTAATTCTAGGGGGCATCTACAGAGAAGCTTAGTTACTCAAAAAAACATAAAAATACTGAATGAGATATTCTTGCATTGCTAGAAGCCTACTGCTTCTTGATGGAAAAAGGTTGGTGAGCATTAGAACGGAATGACCAAAAAAATAAATAGAAGATATAGCCAGCTTAATGATGCAATCAGTTTTACATAGTTCCCCGTAATAGTTCCTGCATTTGCAAATTAATTTAACCTTTTTTTGGCTTACTTTTTGAAGTAGTATTTAAAAAATGAATGATGATTATTTGTCACTGGTTATATTTTTGTTAGTAAATGCCTCTTGAGCTATAATCCGTAGAGCAAAGTCATGAGACTAAATTGCAAAAGAAAATTTCTACCTAACAAACTTATAGGAAGAGCTGTTTTGAAATTAAGTACCTAAAATTTAAAAGTTATTTTTTCCATGTTGGCACATGGAGTCAAAATTTTTTTCCAACAGCTTATGGATAAACAGATACTTCTTTAATGGTTATTGCATGGAAAACTACCTTCATACCTCTTAATGATGCAAATATTTTTCTTTATTTTTAAAGGTGAAGGCAGAAATTGGAGATGTTAGTATTTTAATAAATAATGCTGGTGTGGTCTATACATCAGATTTGTTTGCTACACAAGACCCTGAGATTGAAAAGACATTTGAAGTTAATGTATTTGCACATTTCTGGGTAAGTATGATTTCTTTTACCAAAAAAAATGCCTTTTGTAAGACTCTAAGATTAAATTTAAAGTGGAGCTTTCAGTAGACATAGATGTATCAAATCAACTCGACACTAAAGTTTTTTTCAGATACCAGGGATAACATACAAAGAGATCATTTTTCATGCTAGGACCAAAATTCATCAATTATTCTTCCTCCCCCTCAAAAAAATAATAAATAAATAAACATGAGGTATTATATATGTTTTAATTCTAAGCTAGAGTCTCGCATCTCTGTGTGATCATGTTTAGAGATGAAGTAGGGATTAGGTACCTTCTGAGTCATCTGTGATTTTATAAAAGGTGAACTCAGTTATCTTTCAGATTCTCATGAGACCAGTTTTCCTGTTGTATCCTGGCCTCAAAGTTGTAAACTTTATAAACAACTCACCATTCAACATTGTGTGTGTGTGTGTGTGTGTGTGTGTGTGTGTGTGCGTGCGTGGCCTAATTATTGCCAAATAGCCAGTTTGGGATGAATAATCTCAAAAGAATATCGGAGTCAATTGATAAAAATGCAGTATCATGTTAATATTTCCAAGTTACTGACATCTGTCTGTATTTTTATGATTTATGAATGGGCCTATCTTTCTGCCTCCATTAGAATATAAGGTATTGTCTTACCTGCTTCTGAATCCCCATCATGTAATAGGTGCTCAGTAAGTATTTATTGTATAAATATTCAGTGACGATGAGAAGATTACTGTTCTTCGGTATTTTGATGATATAACCAAACTGTTTTCTAACAATTTCACATTAAATGTAAATTTTTTTGATAACTCTACATTATTATACCTATTCAGTGTATGAGATGATAGATGATATCAGTGACAAAAGGGAGAAGATCAGTGGACATAACTTGTTCACAATTTATTTATTTCCCCCTCTTTAATTCCACCCGCATTTCTACCCCTGACCTATGGATATTCCTGTTTCCCCTGAAGAACTGGATCTCTGAAGGTGGGGCGTCTCTTCCCACACGCTCATGGCATGCACCCAGGGCCTGGCACCCCAAGGCCCAGGGTACCCGGGTTCTGGTCTGTGGCTCCACCTGGGGCGTGAACCCAGGACTTTCTGCATGCAAAGCAGATGTGCTAACCACTATACTCTGGAGCCCTAACTTGTTCACAATTTAAATGGGATGGTTGCCCGAAGTTTTCAGTATCTATTGTTTAGCTTAATTTTTCTAGTCTGGGCATCCTATCCAGTTGCTGTATGTTGCCACATTTGGCAATTAATCTAGGTTTTTTCATTTCTTCCAGGAACACTGTTAACAAAGTACACGTTTGTTTCAAAGTGTTTTCAAGGGGTCTGTGAATCAGAAATAACAATATTTCTTTTCTCTCTTAATAACAACTATTTCTAGACTACAAAGGCCTTTCTTCCAGCGATGATGAAGTGTAATCATGGCCATATTGTTACCGTGGCTTCAGGAGCCGGTTATGTAGGGATCCCTTTTTTAATGGCTTATTGGTAAGTGAACATGTGTTTCCTTCATTGGTTCCTAAGCTTAACTTGTGTTTGGTTTCTTACCTGTCTAATGAGCATTATAGTTAATGATGTAGAGTTGAAGTTGCTGAAATAGGCACAAAGTTGCGCAAAGTGGCTTATGTAACACCATTATTAACCATTAATCCCCTCCTATGTTGACTGTTCTCAGAGGTGGCTGCAGGGAAATTATCCAGTTAGAAACCAACTGCTTAAAGCATTTCTCATCCCTTTAAGCAGCAAGGAATTACAAAATAAGAGCAATAGTTTTGTACCAGGAACAGAAGTTAGTATTAATAATTTTAAATAATGTATTGTTGTGGAAATAAAATAATGTGAAGACAAGAGAATATAATGTGGGATTCTAAACATTAAAAGCATCCAAACAATGAAATTGTTATAAAAAGACCTGTAATATTTATCCATTAAAAAAAAAACACTATTGTAATAATTGAAGAACATACTATAGCAAGCAGGGCTAAGTAATGTGCCCCACTGTATACTGTAAAGAACTGATCATTGAGGCCACTGCAGCCAAGGCGATCCTCCTGGTTGCATACACCCCAACAGTTCTTGGCTATTTCTATACTTTACAAATAATTCTTAAAAATGTTGACTTATGATTATGTAAATATACATACAAATAATGCTCAAATTTGTTTTCTACCATTGTGCTCTTTTGGGATTATGTATCTAAATGCTAGAAACTATATAGTTGTATATGTAGCTATAGATATGTGTATAAATAAATAAACAGGCATGGATTGGTAACTTTGAGATATATATATATATATATATATGTGTGTGCATATATATATATATATATATACACACACATATATATATTCTTGCATTTTAAAAGTTTGCAAGAAAGTGTATCGAACCGTTTATTCTAACCACACCTAGAGAATGGTTATTCTTAGGTAATAGCAAGAAAAATAAGATTTATTTTGTTCTTTTGTTCATCTGTTTTCTTTCCTTTTTCCTTTCTGAACATATATTTGTTTTATAATAGTTTAAAAAATAAATATAGACATGGATTGAGTTTTTTTAAAAAAGAATAAAATAACTGCTGAAGCAGTCAGAGAAAGACCAGACCTATAGTGTACAGATTGTGTCTTATCTCTTTCAAAGCTGATTTAAATTAGCTGATTAGCCCTTAGCCATCAAGAATTAATACAATCTGGTATTTATTTCACTTCCTTGATGAAGATAGTTGCAGGTGCTGCTGCTAGTCTACTATATAACATTCCTGCCCTGCCAAATTCTATCGTATTCTCCAGGTAAGCAAAGAGTATCAGAGAATTCAACAGGGCTATAGTAAATACTGTAGCTCTTGATTCTGATTTGATTCTACCCCACTGAGTGTTTACAGTGAGAACCAAGAGAGAGCATACTTTGTGTACGGAACAAATTTATTTTGGTGACTAGTGATGGTGCTTTCAACAGAAGTAAAAGCTCTCATGGAGTACTTGTCAAAGCAGGAGTGATATACACAGTTGTACAAATTGTGCACTGCACAATTCTAGGATGCACTGTTCACAGTCAGGTCCTTTTAGAGTTCAATGATTTTCCTGCAAATGGCAGTAAATTAGCTTGAGAAGAGGAATGGCCTTTTCTAATTTACACGAAGATGCCCTTTAGGCTAAAAGGCAAGGTTGCACCTACACGAGCTGTATATTTCCAGCTTTGGGACAGATCTATGGTTTGCTTGCCCTCGCAGAACTTCTGTTTGGATCCTTAGCTATCCCTGGCCTGAGCTGTCACAGTCTTTGGTCCTTATTGACCACAGTATCTTCAATTTAGTTTTTGCTCTGCATCTGATCGATGGTAGAACTTTCACAGAGATTCACTAAGACTTCTCCCAGTAGAAAGCAATGTTTATCAGCTGTTATTAAACTCAGGTGTTGCTTTCTAAAACAAATTTTTTATTGAAGTATAACATACATTTATAAAACTGCAGAGATCATGAGTAAAGAGCTCAATGAGTTATTGCAAAGTAGATACATCTATTTAACTACAACACAGGTCAAAAAATAGGACATTACAAGACTCCGGAAGCTTTTTTGGGAACTCTTCCCATTCACCAATCCCTCTTTCCTTCTTAAAGTTAACTCTTATATTGACTTGTAACACCATTGATTAATTTTGCCTATTTTTGATCTTTATGTACATAAAATCACACTATTTTGTGAGATTTATCCATGTCATTGTTGATAGGTATAGTTTAATCATTTTCATGCCTTTATAGCATTGCATTCTGTGACTAAATCGTTTTTTTTAAATTATTTTATTTATTTTATTTTTTTAGATCATTTTTTATCCATACTACTGTTGATGAACATTTGGGTTGTTTCCAGAATAGGATTACTATGAATCTTGACTCAATTTTGACTTAGTAATCTTGACTTAGTAATTTTATGTGACCTTTGACAAGTTACTCAATTTCTCTGTGCATTATTTTCCTCATCCATAACAGGCTAACTCATAACTTAACTAACTCATCAGGGTGCTATAAAGTTTAAATCATAATGTAATGCACTTAGCATAGAATCTGAAATCCTGCAAGTGTTCAGTGACAGGAGGGTACCTGTTGGGTATGTTCAATTCCACTTGCCTATATTCACACAATATGGTAAAGTCCCTCCTCTCATTTTAGCTTCTAGAATGCTTTGCCCTAGTGGAATTAATCGTATATGCTATGGCTCTTGTTTGTTAGAATGAAATAAGAGAGGACCTAGAGTAATCTTTTTATTTTTTCCCTATAATCCAGCCCTCAGCTATCATTGTCCTGAGTTGCAGCCATAGCAAAAGAATCCATTACAGAATCCATTTCTATATTAGAAAAAAAATATTTAAATTTCTTTTGGAGTCATATTTCAATAGTTTTAAAGATTAATGTGAAAAATGCATATTGAAAGAACTGAATTCATAATGAGGTTAATCTTTTGATTATATTGTTTTGCTGCTTGCTAAGTATTTTGTTTAAAAGTATCTTCATTTTAAAAAGAAAAATATTTGGTACCACAAAACTCTGGCTAATGTATCTTATCAACTCAAATAGCCAATTTACAAGCATGAAAGTTAGCAGTATGTATAGATGTGGCAAAATTGAGACCTGATCATTAACTTGTAATGAAATGTTCTTTAAAAGAATAATTTGGAATAAGAAATATTAATTCAGATTATTAAGAATAAGAAATTTGATGTAATATTACAAAGTATGGGGAAAAAATCCACTCATTTTTAGCTTTCTTATATACATATGTGTATATATGTGTGTGTGTGTGTATATACATATATATATTCATGTCTAAAAATAAATTCACCTTGAAGTTCAAAAATATAAAATTCTTTTCACATGCTCAGGTACATTAACTCTGAGTTTTAATATATTCCCGCACTTTTGGTTCACTTAGGAAAAATCAGAAAATATATTTTAGAAAAAGAAAACTTACTGATAATCTCACCATGCAGAAATAACCATAATAAGCATTTGTTATAACTTTTTAGGACATTTTAAATACCGATATATAGTCATACATTTAAAAAAATCTACATACAAAAAAATTGCTTTTATTTAAGTTTAAAATGAACATTTTGTATGTTAATTAATATTCATGTGCAACATCACTTTCAATTCCTGCATGGTATGCCACTGTACATATATGCGACTATTTATTTAATTTATCCATTATTGTTGGACTCTTTTAGTTGCCAGGAACACAAGAGGCCAAAAAAGGAATTTTTTGCCTCTGCAATTAAAGTCTCAGGCAGGCTCCCCTGTTGGCAAGTGAATTCCATTAAAGTAAATAATGAGCAGCCTACAGTGTCATTAAATTTTATGGAAATAGCGACAACAAAACGAATACCCTACCAATTTTCCTAACAAGACATTTCAACCTGCTCAGTTGTCACTCTGATAAATGATGTTGGAATGCAGTAAATATTCTATGTCAGTGTTTTTTAGACTTTCCTGTGCCTGTAAATTACCCGAGAATCTTCTGGAATACAGATTCTGATTCAGTAGGTCTGAAATTCAGGTGCTGGCCATGCTGCCGAACAGAGGCCCACACTTACCTAAAGAAAACAGATATCTGAATTAAATAGATGCAGCAGCTTTCTTGAATTATTTTGTGACCTCTCTGTGTTTATTTTCAGTTCAAGCAAGTTTGCTGCTATTGGATTTCATAAAACTTTGACTGCAGAACTTGCTGCCTTGGAAAGAACCGGAGTCAAAACAACATGTCTTTGCCCTAATTTCATTAATACTGGCTTCATCAAAAACCCAAGTACCAGGTTAGTTGAGACAGAAATGGAGATAAAAGGATTGGCAATTGCATGAATATGAGCCATTCTGTGGATTTTCCTAAGTGTTTTAATCCTTAAAACACCTGATATTCCATGCCCTTGGCTCATCTCAATTTCAGCTTTTGTAGATTGTGGGAAAACAGATGGAGAGACAAAGAGAGACGGTGAATATATATAAATGTAAATATGAATGACACAGGTGAACTTGCTAATCTTCCCTTTTTTTCTTCCCCCAAGCAGTGGATCTTAGACTTAAGTGTACATACATTTCACCAGGGATGCTTGGGAACCACATAGGAGCCCCAGCCCAGAGATGTTGATTTATTGGGTGGGACAGGGTAGTGGTGGGGATGGAAACCTGGGACTACGTGTGTTTACCACACATCATAGGTAATTCTGATAGAGAGAACCCAGGACTACAATGTGGAAAACAGTTTCTGTTGGTAATCTAGAGATTATCTTCCAAAATGAGTACCAGACCATGGTCTTTCCTTGGTTAAAAAATAAAATTATAAGGATCCGCTCTGAGGTTAATTTTTAGTGTTTCCGCTCTTTGGGCATAGCTTTAATGTCTTTATAAACATAATATATACTTTTAAAAATTCCAACATACAGAAAAATACAAATAAGAAAGTCCCTTTTTAGATTTTCTTAAAACCCTCTACCCTGTGGAAACTACTCTTAACATTTTGGTGAACATACTTCTAGACATCTCCCTAGGTACAGATCAAATGTCTGAATTTTATATAACTGGCATATGTTACACATGGGATTCTGGAAGCAGTAGGTAAACTGCTTACTTCCCTCAGCATTATGATTATAGACAATACTGTATTAAAAACTTCAAAGTTACTAAGAAATTAGATCTTAACTGTTCCCACCACAAAAAAGAAATGATAGTTATGTGATGGGATGGAGGTGTTAGGTAACGCTAGGGTTTGCAATATATACATGTACCAAATCAACACATTGTACACCTTAAACTAACACAATATGATATGTCAACTATATTTCAATAAAAATTAATTAATTAATTAAAAGAGTTCACTAAAACTGAAAGGGAATGTCAAAGGAAAAGGTAAGTGGCATTCCCAAGGATAAAATTTGCCAATTTCTCCCATTATTTTCAGGATCTAGATACCAAAATAATGTTTGAGTCAAGTTTTTCATTCAGACCGTCTTTCAGCAGTTAAAAAGAGGCACCATATTTTTTAAAATTGTAATTGAATTTTTTACCTTAATCCCTAGGACCAGGCTGCACAAGCTAACCTTCCTGTGGGCAAGGGTGCCCTTTCTTGGCAAGGCTCTACTAGTACAATAAAAAAATAATGGAAGCTTGCTATAGGAAGAAAGTATAAATAGAAGGTGGTGTGATTCTAGCCTAGTCACGGGAATATAACCTGGCTAAAGAAGCATCTAGGGCTTGGGCCTGTCGTATAAACCCCTTTGAAGATTAGGCTCATACTAGAATGGATGCCAATGTGAGGTTGGTTTTAATCTAGAAACTTAGTTCTTCTAATTAGGGGACAGAGAGATCTTATTCTAGTTTATATTTGGGGCACTGAATAAAATCAGTAATTTTCTTAAACCTCACAACAATAGTTGCTTACTTGTCGAGTAACTTGCCTGTAAGTAGCAGAACTGGATTCAGACCAAACTTTGTCTTCTTTACACAGAGGACAGCCTTTCTGAAAGAAGGAAACTGAACTGACTTCTAAATGACTGATTCAAAATAATTTGTATCATATTAATATTGGAATTTAAATTCTGTTTTAAATCACACAAATGATGTAGTTTATTTGTTCTTATATTTACACACCTAACACACTGCAAAGAAACTGGTTTACTGTAAAGGTTATAACAGCATAATCTGAGTTAGGCTATTGATTTGAGATCTTTCTTCATTTTTCATGTAGGCATTTGTAGCTATAAATTTCCCTCTGAACACTGCTTTTGCTGCATCTCATAAATGTTGTATGTTATATCTTTTTATTCATCTCAAAGTATTTCCTAATTTCCTGGGATTTTTTTCCTTTGTCTCATCAGTTAATTCCCACATATTTCTGAATTTTCCAATTTTCCTTCTATTATTGATTTCTAATTTCATTCCATTGTGATCAGAGAACATACTTTGATTTTAATCTTCTTCAATTTAACACGGCTTGTTTTGTGGTATAACACGTGATCTGTCCTGGAGAATGTTCCTTGTGCCCTTGAGAAGAATATGTATTCTGCTGTTGTTGAGTGGCGTTGTCTATAAATGCTGCTAGGTCTAGATGATTTATATTGTTTTTCAAGTCTTCTATTTCTTTGTTATCTTTTGTCCAGTTCAATCCATCATTAAAAGCGGGATTAATGTCTCCAACTTTTATTGTTAAATTGTCTATGTTCTCCCTTCAGGTCTGTCAATTTTATGCTTCAGTCTTGTCAGTTTTTTGCTTCATGTATTTTGGGACTCCTGTTAGGTATATGAACAATTTTTAATGAAATGTTTTTCTCTCAAATAAGTTATCTCTTTCCAATTAGTAATATAGACAATGTAGCATAATCTGGATTTATTAGCTTAAGTGTAATTGGATGTTCTGATTAATTTTTTTGACGACCAAGAATTATTTTTGTTGAACATTCTTTTAAAACATCTACTCTCCTACATGTAATATATTTAACGAAATCTGTTTCCTCACATTACCAATGGAGTGTGGTGGATAATACTCATTCAGTAACACCATGTTGGTAACTTGAAATTGGCCATGAAGGGAGTATTTACACCATAGAAATTGGAAAATGCTACAAAACTGGTAATTCTGTCTCCTTGAGAGCCAGTGAAACATTTACCAGCATACCACTGAATTATCCCCATTTTTCAAATTAAACACAAAAACCAAAACCTGAACTTTAAAGAGTAGAAATTTCTTTCCTAAAATTATTAAGCTACTTAAGTGGTAAAGTTAGATGATCAAACACCCCACCTATGCCACAGGTTAAAAGACAACTTAGTCTTCTTCAAGTTTCCATCGCCTTTCATTTTTACCTCCATTGGCCAAAGCCATCACTTTCACTGTTGTATTTCCTCTCCTGTCACATCTCCAAACTCTTCATATGAAACACTATTGTTTCAGAGTCCTGGGATGAACACAGCATTCTAATAAATGACCAATCTATGCTGAGAATGAAAAATTATATCATATATGTTTTATGTTTTGTTCTCCTTCAGGTATCCAATTATTGTGCTCATTTATCCCACTTTTACTTTATTGCTATTTTTTTCTGAATGAACAATTCTGTATTCATTTTTAAGGAGTCTCATCCAATTCTTTTTGTCTCACTTCTCTTAACTAGTCACATCATTTAAAATCTGCCTCCCCAAAATGTTAGTCGTCAAACAGTTTGATGACATTGGCAAATGTCATGACTGTATTTAATTATGAATCATTTTTTTCTAAGTCATTAGTGAAATCTTAAAAATTCAGGACCAAATTTTGTGCAACTGCATCATAAGTGCACTTATTCTAACACCCAGATAAAAACGGCCACTTTTTAGGGACCACCTACTATTCAATAGTGAATATACCAGGGTGTTTACACAGTGAAGATATAACATGGAGCTAAGTAACAGCTGAAAATTAAATGAAGACCTGATAAAGTGGTAAAGTTAAATAATCAAAAACAATATAAGAGTTTCGTATGGTGACCAAGGACCTAGGCTCCTACATTTTAAATTCTCCAATACTTTAGAAATTGTTCATTAAAAAAGTCTTAGTATATAATAAAACTTGTACAATGGTATCTGATTTCTATTCCAAGACTTCTAAAGATTTAAAAGTGAATTTGTCAGATTTAATCTAGCTAAATTATTTTTGCATCCTAGTTACTTCCATACTTCTCATTTGCATAGTAGGGACTATGGTCTCTCCTTCATAGGGTAATTGTAAAACTTTTGTGAGATAAGCTGTGTAGAATGTTTAGCACAATGTGCAGTACATGACAAGCACTAAGTAAGTGGTGGTGGTTGTTATTCTTCTTATTATTAATGCTAAAGCAGCTACCATTTTTGAGCACCTATGATGCTCCAAGTCAGTAATGTTATGGTTCCTGTGGTAATTTAACTTATTTGTTTAGCACTAAACTAAAGCTGAAGCATCAGTGAAATTATTTGTTTCTGAAGTCTGCTTCTGATTTCAGTTCGGGACCCCCCTTGGAACCTGAGGAAGTGGTAGACAAGCTGATGAATGGGATCCTGACTGAGCAGAAAATGATTTTTGTTCCATATTCTGTAAAAATTTTTACAATATTGGAAAGGTAAGCGACAGTTATGTTTGTCAGCATTATAAATATTTATCTAATGCATGTTTTTACTCAGATTAAAACCAAATTTTTATAAAGTACAATTAAAGGAAATTAAGTTAATAAAGATAATGGGCTTAAAGAATCCATCAGTTTCTAAAGTACATTTATTAATTATTGAAGCAAGATTGGTGTAGCAGTTGGGTAAATAAACTGAATAATTTCCATAGGTTTTTAAGTTTTTTTTAAGAAAGAAATTTGTATATTTCTGGAAGTCTTGTCTTATAAATGAATGAATATGAAGACAATTTTTAAGCATTACTACATAACGGAATTGTAGGACAGTAATATTAGAAGAGACCATAGTTATGTTTTAGATATTCATTTAAATATACAAAAGATAATCATTGAGGTATTATTTTGTGCAAAATCACACTGCAGCATAGGAATTGCTAAATAATCTTATATAGTTTTAGAGATCCTTGAGCCTCGCTGCTTTAAATGTGGTCCATGGATCAACAGCATCAGCATTAGCATCACCCAAGAGTTTTAGAAATGCAGAATTTCCTGATCGCCTGAATCAGAATTTATATTTTAATAAGATCCATAGGTGATTTGTATGCATATTCAGATTTAATGTACAGCCAACAATGGAAACCACTGGTGCAAAGAATGGCTTATCTTAACACATCGCCTCATTACTCATCTGAGAAAGCTGTGTGGCAATGAGACTGGTCAGTTAATGAGGAGAAAGTGAATAGGTGCCATAGCTCAAACAAACAAACAAACAAAGAAACAAACAAAAACACCTCTTACTGCATGTCTCCAGACTCAGGCTCCTCCAACATGGTAGTGGTATCAGAATCACTTGGGAAGTCAATTTTAAATATAGATTTCTGGATCTCACCTCTCAAGATTTTAATATAAGATGTTTGAGTTGGGACTCAGAAATCTGTATTTTAACTGGCCACTGCTACAGGCAGTTAGTTCAAAGATCATAGTTTAAGAATTACTGACCTAGAGACTGAAAAATAATTGAAGAAATCAAAAGCATAAGTGACATGTGTCGGGTTTTTTAGCCCCTTCTTCTAGGAAATGTGGTTGAACATACCTTAGAGGTTTAGGGAGTAAAACCCAAAGATCTCCTTGGTGAGTAAATGAGTTAAAACCTGTGAAGTGCTTACCATTTTATTTGTCACATCACATAAGTAAGCACTCAATGATTACATTCCTTTAGAATGTAACTCTATGAGAGAAGGAATTTTGCCTGTTTTTCATCACTATATACCCTGCACTGTGAAGAGTTGATGGACACCTAAAAGACACCAAACAGTTTGATGATCGAATAAACGAATCTGTTTCCTAGACTTTTAGCATAGAGACTCAAAGTCTGTGCTCTGGAGTTAGGTGAAGCTGTGTTTGTGTGACTTGTTTGCAACATGAACATGAATGAGTTATTTAACTTCTTTGAAGCTTAGTTTCTTCATCTGTCACATGGAGACAACAATAAGACTTTATAGGGCTATAAAGAATAAATAAAATAATGCATTTAAAGTGTTTAGTATACTATAAATACTTGATAAATGTTATATACCACTATTTTTATAATTACTACTATTATTATCATTGCCCTGATTTTCCCCTATGAATGTTCAGTGCTCAATTTCCAAACTTTATTAATGCCATCTAGACAGATGTCTGAAAATAGGTATACTAAATTACATATTCTGTTTAGTTTCTGTCAGACTTATTGGAATGTGACAAGTTCCTCAATATTCTTAAGGATAGGGTGAGGAGAAAAAAATTAGACCTACTTGTCTATCATCATTTAAGATATTTTATATTAACACATTGATTCTTCAAAGAACACTGTGGAGTGGGTGTTAATTTTTCTGTTTACATGTGAGGAATTTAAACTCAAAAGTTAAATAATTTGTTCAGAATTATGCTCAAAACCAAGTCTGTTGACTGGGGAACCAATTCTGCTTCTCCAGCCTCTTAGTGGGGGTGGGGAAGCAGAACATTTTAATAATATTCTGGATTATAAAGTATAAAATTAGTTGCTATTCTCACTTCCTTTTCAATGTCAATTTTTTTAAATCCTCTAGCGTCTCAGCTATTCAGTTCCATACACTTCCTCTTTTAGATCTTTTGAAAAATATAGGCGTATATTTATTTTAAAACAATATTCCAAGTCACTTCTACCCTAAGAATGTTAAACCTTTTTTTTCCTTTTGAAAAGGAAAAGGATTTAATTGGCAAGAACATATAGCAATGACCATGTTAAACTTTTTAATCTTGTTTAAAATGAACATAGACATGATACATGATAAACATAAGTATTTTAAGAGAAGATAGCTTACAAATGCACTTAATATTAATTTTCTAATTATTTTCATGTATCTTTTTTTAGGATCTTTCCTGATCATTTCCTGACAGTTTTAAAACGGAAGTTGAATATTAAGTTTGATGCAAATATTGGATATAAAATTAAAGGACAATAAGTACTTGGTTTTGTTGAAAATTGATTTACCAGGTTTAAGTTGATTTCATCTAATATTAATCAGAATTTTAATGTTTGGACTTCTGCTTTTCCCGATTATCTTTTTCTTCAATATCACCTTTTGAGGCTCTGGAGTATCCTTTATTATTCCTGTTCTTTAACTGAAAGCTAATGTCATGTAATACAAAGAGAGAAATATCTTAGCAATTGACCTTATGGAAATCGAGAAAAAGAACAAAAGCAGTTTTACAATAATTTCCAAGATTTTATGGTTTATATGAAAGCTTTGCAAAATTTGCACTGTAAATGTTTAAGATATATTTTTATTTTTAATCACACTTAAATTTTATACTATTCACATTTCCTTTTTCTATTATACATAAAAACTTCAAGCTCTCTAAATATAATGACTATATCTAGTGGCATTTCACAATGAATTTCACATGATATAAAATATGTCACTCAAATATTTCATCCTATACATTACCACTCTGATTCCAGAGAGATACCTTATGTTCTAATGCCAGACATTTCAGCACAAGGTGGACACTTGCTGCAAGTAAAAAAGTATCATTGGGATTTAAAGCAGAGAATTGGAAGAATGTACCCAAAGTGGCAACAATAAGAAATGGATCAAACTTAAACCTGTGGTGATTCCATCTTTTTATTTTGAACAGAACATGGCTTAACCGTCAAAATAAAGAAAAACAGATTATGTAATTAAAGATCTTTATTTTTTTACTGTCTGGAAATTTCTCAGATGAGAGTGAGGCACAGAGAGATGGTAATATAAGACTAGACCTATAAATTGAAAAAATAAGTAGGTTTGTTGGATTTCTAGTATAGAAAAATGTTTTCAAGACTATGTTAGATACATTCATCTGATATAAAGAACTTTGGTCCTTATATCAGAAAGTTCATACTCAAAAAACATAAATCAGAGTCACTGACCTCTGTGAAATATAACAAATGAACCACATTTAGATTCAGATACTTCATAGTGAAAGATTTTGATCATTTCTAAACAGAAACTAATATTTATTCAACATGTGTCAGGTGCTGTCCTAAACTCTTGACTTATTGAACAAGTCAATGCCACTGCAGATCACAAGGATTATGTGACAATCTGTTTAAGGAAGATTATACTCTAGATTCTATACCACATAAGAAAATTGCACAGAAGATATTCCTACAATAAATTTCTCCCTCTTCCCCATCAAATACCTTCTTCTAATACAGAAAATCAAAATACAATTACTGTTAGACTATGTTCAACATTTAGTTGATGTAAAGACATATCTGAGGCAAAAATACCTGCTTTCCAAAACATTTAAAGAATGTAACTTAGATTTCTCTCTATACATTACCCATACTGCAGTAGCACTCTACTAGAGTATCTGTGAGAATGACACTAGAACGTGTACAGTCTGTTACAGTAAGCTTCTAACTTATTTTGAAATAGCCGTTTGTTCTTTTAATTAAGTTATACCTGTTCAGCTTGCCAAGTGGAAAAGTGAAGTAGGCTAGGAGAAAGCCATTAATGAAACTTCAATAAGATAACTGAGATCCAGAATGTACTGATAACTTTCTTTTTTTCATAATAAACCTATTTTGGCTGTTAACATACCTGTCTGAAATTAACACTTAGATGAACTTTGGCCTTAATCATTATGAAAAATAAGTACTACTTCTAGATATTATGCTGACAGAATGGTAACCAGTTCTTTTTATTGAATGTTAACCACATGCTAGGCACAGTTTGCCATTTAATCCTGCAGTGATCCTGTGTAGTGGGCATTGTCGAAAGACTTGAAATAGCTGTGAACACAGCAGTAGTAAGCAGGAACCCAGAACCTTAGAGGCTGGAGCCCTACTCTGCTGGAAGGTAAATGATGGAATGAACGCTGTAGGGGTTCTAAATTTTGTTCTTTGCTTTTTTTAAAAAAAAGCTTGCTCCAATTCACCAACATCAGGCAATTTCTGCTGTGACTCTTAAGTTTGAAAACTTTTAAATAACTCTTATTTGAATCAAGTTAATTCTACCTTTGAACCCACTTCTCAGCAGGTTAGTAGGAAAATCCATCTCAACCATCAATAGGGCTACTTCTGAATGGCATGCCAAAATCAAAGAGGCTTACCTTATCTTAGGGTGAGTGGGGAAAGACTCCTAATGTCAAGTATCAGGGAACTCTGTCCCTAAACCAGGACCTCGATGACAGATGGCTCTCTCTTTTGTGAGGTCCATAAATCCTGACTGTCAAAGAAACTGCCCTCCATGGACACACCATAAAACCTCCAAGGACTTGCTGACATCTCGAGGCCCTGCCATAGGACTGTTAGGACTCACAGCTCTCCTATTCCATTTGAGAATGTTCCCATGCTCACTTTTAGAAACACTCGTCCCTACCCCACCCCCATACCACTGTTCTCACTTGCTAGAAATCTACTCTTTTTAACGGAAACAAAGATTAGAAAGAGTAAGGAATCAGGCCAAGGAAGGGGGTTAAAATTCATTCTTAGTACATCCTCAACACCAAATTGGCTAGTGAGTAAATGGCTAATAAGGATTTTACTATGAAGAAAGGGAGCAATTATTAACAGCCTCCTCCCCCAGGCTGGCTGACAGGTTTACTCACTTGGACAATTCTCTGTGTGACATCATTATCCTCATTTTATAGACGAGGTAACTGTAGATTAAAGAGTTTCAACAAACTTACCTAAAATCACATAGCTACTTAGAGTTCAAGCTGAGGATCTGAACCCAAGTTTGCTGATCTCTCTTATCATACAGCCTCAGTGGAATTCTTGGAGAGTTGGACCATTATCCTAAACTCCCTCTGTTTCCTTTTACCCAAGCTTTTCGTGGCATTCAAATAATATTCCAAAATCAGCCAATAAAAAGCTCTGGTGGCAACTGAAACTATTTCATCTAGGAATTATTTTAAAGTAAATAAATGCTGTAATGCACTTGTCCAACTGTTCGACCTAAAAAGGTCCATTCTTCCCTGGCCTAATATCACCATAATGTAATTTCCTGAAATTAAAATGCTGAGCCTGAAAATATTGAGATAGTCTTAATCTATACTGGACATCATACTCTTCCCTAAAACAGATAAGAATTCCCACTTGACCTCAGAGCTAATCTGACTACTCAGGTTTTTTTCGTTTTCTTTCTTTCTTTTTTCTTTTTATTTAAAAAAATTTTTTTTTTGTCTAGGGATAACTGGGCCAACCTCAGAATTAGGGAGACGTGCCTTTTATTCTTACAGTCTTTCCCATAATTACAGGTGCCTTAGTACTGCAAAAAAGAGCACTGGGCAATCTAATTTAAGCTAGCTGTTCTAGAACCTATTTCTTCATCTATAAAAGAATCTAATTAGACTACATAATCTCCTAGATTTTCTTCAATTACAGTTAAATAAATGTCTTATAATCAACACATGCAAAGCCTAGCATCTCTCTATCCCATCTGTGTTCCCTAACAGAGAATGGCATTTCTAACAAGTGTCCAAACCAATAACCTAGGGTTATACCTGCCTTATTCCTTCCCCTTATCCTCATCCCTCACTTCACCAAAATCCTCTAATCCCCACCACACACATTCAATATCAATTGCCATTCCCACATTTGTATTTTCAGCCTGAATCTCTCCTATGAACATCAGACACATATCCAAATGCTTTCTTGATATCTCTGTCTGTGTGGCCAACATTCATTTCAAGGTAATATTACCAAAATTAAGTTTATGATGTTATTTCAAATCATTGTTCCAGTTGCTCAGGGCGAAAAAAAAAAATTAATATCTTCCTTGATTCCTCTCTCTCATTGCCCACATCCATGATAAAAACAGTTGTGTTTGCTTTTGCTGTGCCTTCAGAATATATCCAGAATTTTATCACCTATCATCCCCACTGCTACTACCCTGATCCAAGCAATCATCACCTCTATTCCCCTTTGTGCTATTCCCAACACAGTAGTCAGAATGATTCTTTAAATATTTGAGATCATGTCTTTCTTCACCTCAAAATCTTGCATTAGCTTCTCATCTAAAACTTAAAGCTAAAGTCCCTACCATGAACTACAAGGCCATATGTAATTCAGTCTTCTTATCCTCCACTTTACTACCTGTATTAGTCAGGGTTCTCCAAAGAAACAGGACCAATAGATTTTATACACACACATACATATATAGAGAGAGAGAGAGATTATTTCAAGGGATTGAGGAATTGGCTCACATGATCGTGGGAAGATAACAAGTCTGAAACCTGTAGGATAAGCCAACAGGCTAGAAACTCTTGGCAGAAGCCGATGCTGCACTCTTGAGGCAGAATTTCTTTTTGAGTACTCAAGGTCTTATAGTTCAGGCTGTTATAACAGAATACCAAAGGCTGGGTGGCTTATAAACAACAGAAATTAATTCTTCACAATTCTGGAGGCTGGAAGTCGAAGATCAAGCCACCAGCAGATATGGTGTCTGGTGAATGAAAGCCTGCTTCCTGATTCACAGATAGCCAGCCTGTCTTCTTGTCTTCACATGGCTGAAGGAGTAGGGAATCTCTCTGGTGTCTCTTTCATAAGAACACTAATCCCGTTCACAAGGGCTCCACCTTCATGACCTAATCACCTCCCAAAAGCCCATCTCCAAATTTCACTACATTGGGGATTAAGTTTCGACATATGAACCTTGGGAGGATACAAATATTCAGTCTGCAGCACAGAGAAAGCTCAGTTTTGCTTTCAAGGCCTTCCAACTGATTAGATAAGGCCCATCGCATTATTAAGAATTATTTTATTTAAAGAGTACTGATTGATTATAAAACATCTCCACAACAACACCTAAATTAGTGTTTGGTTTGATTGAATTTAAGCTAGATTGAATTTAAGAATTATAGCCTAGTCATGCTGACCTATAAAACTAACCATCGCACTACCCTTGCCCTCTTTCAATTCACTCCAGCAACACTGGTCCCCTTGATGTTCCTCAAGACACCAGGCATGTTCCCATCTCAAGAACTTGTACCTTACTGTTTCCTCTCCAGAATGCTCTTCCTCCAGATATTCACGAGATTAGCTCCCTCTTTTCTTTTAAATCTTTTTCCATAGGTCTTTTCAGAATTTCTCACTTCATAGCTAAAACTGCAAACCTGCCTACATGGCCATGTCCTATAAGATTCCATTTCTGTTCTCTGTTTTTCTCCTTGGCACTTATCATTATGGAGCATACTATATTGCCTCCATTGCCTTAAGAGCATAAACTTCCCAAGGGAAGTGGTTTATTTCTTATGTATTTTGTTCACTGCTGCATCCCCAATGCCTGGAACAGTCCCTAAAATATACCAGCTACTATATATATATAAAAGGAATACTCGTTTCTTTTATTATTCTCTCAAATATCTCCTTTGCCACAACGTTCATTCAGGCCACCATCATCTCTTGCCTAGATTCCTGAAAAGCCTCCTAACTGGTCTTCCTCCATCTGTTCTTGTCCTTCTTCCAATGTATTCTTCATCTTGCAGCATTTCTAAATCTGACAACGGTCTTCTGCTCAAAACCTTTCTCTAGCTTTCATTGATGCTAAGACTCTGAGTGATTGGAATTCTGTTACATCTTCTATCTTCTCTCTATCCTAAGCTCTTTTCTCCAAGACAGAACTTCCTATCCCTTGAATGCACCATGATCTCCCACTGCCTTGAACCTACACATATGGTTTCCTATATCTGGAATA